GACAGTTTCATATCTATACTGCGACAAAAAATAATATTGATTGTTCCCCTTAATTTGTGCTCCTAAAAATCTTTTTGCAACAGTTTACAGTATGGTCCCATTAGTTAATGTAAGTAAATGCATGAAGTAATATTAACTAACAATGAGCACTACATTTGTTGCCGTTTTGATTAATCTTTAAAGTTAATAAAAAATAATTATCATTAATTATTAAAAGTTAATAAAAATTCAACTGTTCATTGTTAATTCATGCTAGCTCAGGTTCATACAGATACAACTTTTGATTTTAATAATGTGTTAGTAAATCTTAAAGTTAACATCAAGATTAATACATTTTAAGTAGTTTAACTAATAAATTAAGTAAAGTTAACAAATGGAACTTCATTGTAAAGTTTTATTTCTGTCTGTGTTGTTGCAGGAAATGATCAAGCCGATGTTCACTGCTGCCACTTTACCCGGAGGCACCAACAGCACCACCACACAGTCGTCTGCCTCTTCCTCTCCCTCCTCCTCCTCCGTCTCCATGCACACTCAGAGCAGCGCCCTGTCGCTCTCCAGCACCACCTGTTGGCCGTTGGCTGCAGGGATGAACGCTCAGAGCGTCTCTAGTGCGAACGGCACGGTGCTCAAAAGCTCTCCGGCGGGAGTCATGCAGCTGCCCAGCGGATTCACGCTCATGCCAGGTGGGGCTTCTGTTCATTTATTCACTCCTTTGTTGCATGTTATTTTTCTCACTTTCACAGATTCAGTCTTATTTGACTTTCCAGAGGGGTTTTGCATGATGCATTGCATCAGCTTGCATGACATCTTTGTGTTTTAATACACATACATTTTTTGCTTGCTTGCATGTCTGCACACTTTGAATTCTGCTTCCAACTGATCCGTCTGTGTAAGGGTCTAATAAACAATAATATATAAATGAAAATAATAATAAATACAAATATTTTTATTATTTGTTTTTATTTTTATTTATTTACTTATTTATTATTTTTTCAAACCTGATATAAAATCTACGGTGGCCGAGAAGTGCAAAGCAAATCACAATTCTGAAAACAAAATAACAAATTACAAACGCAAATGCAAGTCTAAAAAACAAAATAACAATTCAGAAAGCACAACAACAATTCAGAAAACATTATAACAAGTCAGAAAACACAATGTTTTCTGACTTGTTATAATGTTTTCTGAATTGTTGTTGTGCTTTCTGAATTGTTATTTAGTTTTTTAGACTTACATTTGCGTTTGTAATTTGTTATTTTGTTTTCAGAATTGTGATTGGCTTTGCACTTCTCGGCCACCGTAAAAATCTTAATAGAAACTTCCTATAATACTACCTCAGTGAGACTAAAATAACAATATTGTCTTAAAATATCAGATCTAGCACTAAAATATCAGATATTGACCTTTTTATGACAAAGCAAGGTTAGTTTAGGTTGTAAAATGTCATGTGGTGCAACTCCCTAAAATCTAATAATATTTAAGAATTAGTATAAAAAAAAATTGAAAATGAAATTTTATTGCAAAAAGTTTTATTTTTATTTTTTATTAATAGTATGTGTACACTCTTATCTGTTAATTACTTTTGATGGTTACACCACTTGACATTTTTTACATATTTATTTAAAATAGTTTAAAAGTTTTTCGAAAAACATTAAACCAAAATGAATGCAATTATTACAATTCTAATAATTTGGCATTTGTTTTAAACTAGATTTTTATTTTTTTCCTTTTTAATTGTAAACATTCTTATTTGTCATTGACCCACATATCAAACACTTATGATGGATACTCGGATATTTTACGATTTGTGTTTAAAATCTTGTCTCGTCAAAAATCCACACTTGCAGTGACTAGGCCTTGTTTGGTGCACATGCTGCTCTGCTTGGCTTGCTGAGGGTGTCGCTGTGTGTCCCGCAGGCACTACTCTTCCTCCTGGCACACACACTATTCCTCTCAGTCAGCTGCAGACACACTCTCTGGCCATACAGTGTCCACAGACGCAAAACAGCCACGCCGCCGCCGCTGTCCCCGCACACACACAAGCTGCCACACAGGCCACGCTCTTCCGCCTGCCGGCCACTGTCTCGCTCACAGGTCAGTGTTTAGCCGTCATGAGGGAAACTCAACTAAAGGTGGAGGCTGGAAACATGCGTTTGAGGATCTGCATGCTACTGCTGTCTAAATGTGTTTCTCATAGGGATGGCATTTCAAGTCATTTTGTGTTATTCTAACTCAAACAAAAGCAATTATTTGAAAATAATACTATTATTATTATTAATATTAAGCTCAACGTAACAAGTATTTTAACTTTGTGAATTTTACTCTATCATTACATCACCAATAATGGTTCATATACAGTGCCAACCACTAATATTGGCACCCTTGGTAAATATGAACAAAGGCGGCTGTGAAAATAAATCTGCATCGTTTATCCTTTTGATCTTTCATTCAAAAAATTCTAACATATCATTGAAGTAAAACAGTGGAACGTGGGGGGGGAATCTTATATGAAGTAAATGTTTTTCTCTAGTTCACATTAGCCACAATTATTGGCATACAATTATTGTAGCGTCCTTTTCCCAAGATAACAGCTCTGAGTTTTCTCCTATAATGCCTGATGAGTTTGGAGATCACCTGACAAGAGATCAGAGAGCATTCCTTCAGACAGAATCTCTCCAGATCCTTCAGATTCACAGCTTCTCCTCTTCAGTTCACTTCACTCATTTTCTACAGGGTTCCGGTCAGAGGACTGGGACGGTCATGGCAGAAGCTTCATTTTGTGCTCCGTGACACATTTTTGTGGTGATTTTGATGTTTGTTTTGGATCATTGTCCTGATGGAAGATCCAACCACGGCCTATTATAAGATTTCTAACAGAGGCAGTCAGGTTTAGATTTTTTATCTGTTGGTATTTGATAGGATCCATGATGCCATGCATCTGAACAAGATGTCCAGGACCTCCAGCAGAAAAACAGGCCCACAACTAGGACTGCCACTAATGACTATTTTTATTTCGATTAATCTATCGACTGATTTATCGATTAATCTACACGATTAATTTTGTGGCATCCCACAAAAAAAATCTATTTTACTTCAGAATATTTTATTAAACTATATTTCATTAAACCAAATGAAATCCAAAAGTAAAGTGCAACATAGAGTGCAAGAAGCAAGTGTCCATCTCATAATCCAAATCACTGAAATCAAAGTTCAGTATTATAGTGTAAGAATGACAACATATCCACGTAGTCTACTAATAATAAAATTATAATCAAAAAACACTTTTTAAAGGAGTATTTACCAGAAATATTATTTACCAGAATTTATTTAGGAGAAAAGTGTAAATGTGCAGTATTTCTGAAAAAAAAAAGTACTTTAAAAAAAAAAAAAATTTAATAAATAAAATCAATTAATTGGAGATGCTTTTGATTATTAAGATTTAATGGAATAGGCCTGTCGCGATAATTAAATAACCGTTTAATCGCGATTATTTGATCTAACCAACCGCGATTATTGTGCTTTTTATACGAGACAAGGGGGAGTCATACACCAAAAGAAACAGAAGAGCAATTAATCGCAATAGCCGCGACTATTTTTAGACAATTAATCGTCAGCCAAATTTCATAATCGTGACAGCCCTAGATGTAGGGGCTGTTTCTGACCCCAAGACTCAACTAATCTCTGCGATTCTCCAACTGTGATCCTTGGAGAGTCTTTGGCCACTCAAACTCTCCTCCTCGCTGTGCATTAGGACGATACAGACACATGTCATCTTCCAGGCAGATCTGTAATATCTTTAGTTAATTGGAATTAACTAAACTTAATTATTGCCCTGATGGTGGAAATGGGGGTTTTCAATGCCTTCAATTTTCTTACAGCCACTTTCTATTTTGTGAAGCTCAACGATCTTGTTCTGCACATCAGAACTAGGCTATATTCTTTGGTTTTACAATTTGTGATGGATAATTAAGGGAATTTGGCCTTTGTGTCCTTCAATTTATAATCCTGTGGAACAGGAAGTAATGGCTGGACAATTTCATGCTCCTAGTTACCCTGGTGTGCTAAAAAAAATTGTAACGATGCAGATTTATTTTCACAGCCACCTTTGCTCATATCTACCAAGGGTGCCAATATTAGTGGTTGGCACTGTATTATGTGACCTGTACTGGCAAAATGAGTCACAATGAGCAATTTTTCAAACATGACTCACATTCTCCATTAAAAGACCTTCAGAATGATGTATGATTTGTTGGAATCGGACGAAAAATGACTGAGCTACACCTGATTGAAGTCGATAGAGTCAGCAAAGTCGATTTTGATAAAAATCGAGTTAAAGTTTTCTGAAGGTTCCAAAGCAAAATCACCTGCAACATGCATCTTTTCCTCCACTTCTTTTCTTAATAATAATTACTGTATTAATAGTCACAATATAGCTATTTTTTATTTTATCTTTGTTATTATAAATAAGAACAGATGCAAAAAAACAAAACAAAAAAAACAGTAGAACAAATATAAGAAAAAACAAAACAAATAATGCATTACCTTTTTCATTTTACATCTAAACAAAAAGCATTCAAGAAAAACAAAATAATGAAATGTAAAATCCCTTTAGTGTGTTCATTACAAATAAATTGGTTATTAAAACTACAAAAGCAGTTCAATCAAGAGCAGCGAGTGATTTTTATTGTTAGATTAACATTAATGAGGCGGCCTATATTAAGACCTATTGTAATGCACAGATCTAATATAATGTTGCACATCAGATGTTTTTCCCCAAACGTTCAATTAAGACATAACAGATTATGTTTGCATGAATACTTAAATACTGTAATTCTGTGTATACTATTATAACAAACTCGTACTTCTATGAGTAATAGTTATAAATCTGAAAGTCTTTTTCCTTTGGGAGGGATCTACCTACCAACTTCTCACAATCATTAAACTGGTTGAGGTTGAACCATAGAACACACAACTGATTTTCTTAGCAGAGATATATTATGAAAAAGAAAAACAACAAAAATGAAATTCACAATAATAAACCCCAAAGCAAAAATAACATACCATAAACCAATCGTACAAAAAGACCCAAGAGAACCAATACAAAAATATGTCTATATATAAAATGAGGTTACAATACGAGCACAAAATGTTCATGTAATGAAGATGGTTATACTTATATGTCCCAGTCCAAAAGCGAAAGAAGAAACCTTGTAGAAAAGGCAGATGTAAATAGTTCTTATCCTTGTAATTAATATCCAGTTTCGATGACCCAAAGTAAGGAGATGCAATGCAGGGAAATTAGTCCTTTATATTTTCAAAATGTACCATGCAGTCATAAATGCCAGAAATGCACATCTAAGGATGCTAGGTCAAAGGAGTCCTTCTATAAACAACATATTAACAAACATTAGAAACATTAGAAAAACCATGAAATGCAATTTATACAGCCACACTGTGAATATGCATAAAAAAAGGACCTTACTTTGATTGAGCATAAAACAACATGTTTCCCAATCAGGACATCTCAGTGAA